CTTCCTCGCCTGGCAACTGGACCACTGCTTCGTGATACCTCTGGCGTCCGAATTGTTCTAAGTCTTCCAGCATCAGCTCTACCTGAGTGGAGTCAAACTCGTCCCAAGAGACGCTGCCGAAAGCATTACTTAAATCATGAAGGTGTGTGATACTTGTGCGTCCTTGTCTGCGCGCGCGCCACATTGTACACTGTGCTACTGTAATCGCCGCCTCCTTTGAGCGGCCCTCTAGAAAACCGTGCACCTGTGCCTGCATCTTGGGGGCTACACTCTGTATAGCGTACCAGCCCTTGCCTAAAGGGGCCAGAAGGTGAACCGTCCTAGTGCCGTCTGCTGTCCCCCCCGACGTGCGAGCCTCTTTGGACTTGGGGAGGGTGATTCCCTGACTAAGGTGCCAGTAGCTGGGGGTCCTACCAGATTGCCTAATTCTGAGCAGACCGTCCTCCAGAACAGCTCGGAAAAGCGGGGCACTCACGGGGTCTTCAGGGGCGCCGAGTCCTCTATGCCCCTTCCTCGGGTGAGCCTCAGGATTCGGATTCAAGAGAATGGCCAGGAACTCCAAGGGGGCTGCCCATGGTGGTTGTGTCCGTCTTTTTGGGGCCCTTTTCACCCAACGCTCCAGCCGCCGAAGATCACGAACCGCTGCCCGTCGAAGGTGTTCGTCCAGTGCTGCTGGCTCGGCACCCTGAGGTTGTCGCTCACTGCGCCAATGATCCCAGTCGTGCATCTGTGTCGCCTGCATGCCTCCGTCTGGTCCCGCCCGTGTCCAGTGTGCTGCCCATTTGTCTGCTGTAAGTCCCAGGGCCTTTACCGTCAGGAAATGTCTCTTTTTTACGCCGTACTTGGTGTTCGCCGCTCTCCGTGTAAGTCTGTGTACTTCTGCCATATTACGAACGCGCCAATGTGCCCATATCTGGTCCAGCAGGTCCTCCTGGTAAGCTTTCCACTCAATTGCTCGCTCCTTCTTCATGTAAGCCGAAAGTTTTTTGAGTCCCTCCACCACTTCGTGTTCTTCCATTTCCGAGCTCTCATCATGCCGAAGTCTAAAGCCGCGTCGTGCTTTGAGTAAAATCATGCGTCTCTCCCTTAGGGCTTGATATCGTTCATCTCGCTCAGGTTCCCGTGAGAAATATTGTTGTCCAACTTCAATTAATAACTGCTCCGTCTTTTCGAAGAGGTAATCCGCCGACGTACGATTGGCCAAGTCCAGCAGCTCGTCCCAGTTCTGGTCAAGCGTGGCCTCCATGTCCTCAACGAAGGCCCGCTTGCGCTCCATGTCCATGCCCACGTACGCCTGCATCATGGTTTCCGCATTCCACTTTGGTGAGTTGTCCTGCTTGCGCTGCTCGCTGATAGAGGGCATGCAAAGGTTAACATGTACTGGCAAATGATCTCGTCGCTGTTTGCTCGGTATCTTCTGCATTGCTCTGCCAAGCCTCGCCAACGGTCCGCAACTTGTCTCCCATTTTTCCAGCGCCGTCGGTATGCAGATGTAGTCCACGAGCGACGAGTTATCGCAGTTACCGTACCAGGTGTCGTCAGCCTTCTGCATAGTCGTGGCCACCATGTGGTGTCCTTCCAGGATCTCCCGAAATCTGCGTCCAGCATAGTGTTCTCGTCGCGACCCTGGGCGGTGAATAGCCGTGCTGTCCCTGAACTCCGTCCCCTTGCCGTTCTCCGTGACCGTTTGGCCCATGCCGTCGTTGAGGTCCAAGCAAATGATGGGGGAGCTTCGGCTCGGGGTTTGTTGTAAGACTTCCTGCAGCCAATCCATCAACATGTCAACGCATTTCTCATATGTCGATCGGGTTTCCAACTTGGTCGGTCGTGGCGGCACATAGAGGCCTATCAGCGTGAAGTCGAACTGTCTTGATGCCAGTCGCACTGCTAGGCCCCGTCCTGCGCACTGTTCTGGTGCCGCCATCGCCCGTCGTAGGTGTCGAGGTTTGAATTTGTTGCCGAAACTGAAGAGCACACCTGCAGACTTGTTGCTGTAGCTGGCTCGTTTCCATCCACTCTCAATGCGCCATCGCTCTCCAGCTCGCTGTTGCTGAAGTGGTAGGTCGCACCGACGCTGTGCTCCACGAGGCCCTGCGCACAGGCGCAGCCTCGGTCTCCGCCGACTGCGCCGCCACGCCCTGGGTGATCGCCGCCAGCAAGGCGGTCCTCATCGCCCGCATGGCCACCTGCAGCTTTTGAGAAAGCCTTGGTAGGGTGGTCGGACGTGCCGCATGGGCACAGCTTTGGCCGCCTGGCCGAAGGTCTAAACCAGTATGGCGGCTCTATAGCCCTATAGCCATGTAGCGCCCCATAGCCCTACAGCCCCTTAAATCCATAGCCCCGTGGCCCTAAAAGCCTATACCCCAATAGCCATATAGCCCCAGCCCTAAAGCCCTGTAGCCCTATCGCCATACGGTCCTATAGCCCAATAGCCCAATAGCCCTATAGCTCTATAGCCCCATAGCTGTACAGCCCCAATAGGCTTAGCAGACCTAATCGGCCTCACAGACCTTCGCAAGTATCCTCACCTTCGTCGCCGTCGTCGTCCAATAGGCGCAGCATCAAATCGTGTCCTGGCAAAACTGCAAAGACTCTGATTGTTTTTTTCTCAGGCATCGTGGCTGTTAGCCAGGGCGGCGGGGGTGCCGGCACATTGCCTGCTGCGTGCAGCCCCCCCCCCCGGCCCATCCCTAAGCCAAGAACACTACGAGGTGCACTGTGCGCGGACGCCCCGTCTGGATCATGCGCGGACGCCCCGCGACGACTTCGCGTGGTTTCTCACAGGGGCGGCGGGAGGGGGGCGCCACACGTCTGCTGCGTGCAGGACTGCCATACCTTCCAGCACGTTGCCAGGGAACGGCGGGGGGGGGCCACCGTACTGCCTGCAGCGTGCATGCCCACCTCGCGGAATCCGCGCACCTGGCTGGCGTCTGCATTGGTTCCCGATGGCTGTCCACGGCGGCGAGACTCGGGCGCTACGTGTGTAGGAGGGCGGGATGAGAGTGAGCGAGACAACTTTTGTTTTCAGCGCATCTTCGGACGAGGGGGGAAGAAGAAAGGGGAACGCGACGATGCGGACAGCCGATGAGCCACGCATCACATACCTCCTTTAAATGAATTGCCAGGGACCTGGCCAATACGACCCTGCCGGAACGCTCCACACCGAAAAAAACAATCGTTGGACTATATATTCTCGCTGGAAACTTGACCCCGCGCCCTACCTTGTGCCCCTGGGTCTGCAGGGGATTGGGGGAGGCAAAATGTCAGAGGGCCACCCAGGGCCATATCTGGCCCAAGATGGCTGCAGGATGGCGTCATGTAGCACAAGATGTCACGATGTAGCCCACGATGGTTCAGGATGGCTTCCCGCATGCCTCCATGAGGCCCCACGTCGCCTCCATGTGACCACGGAGCCGAAGCCCCCGAGAGGCTAACACATCCCCCCAATGCCGTCGGGACATCAATTGTTGTTCGATTTCTTTTCCTTTCGCTTCCGGCTGGCCTGGGAGGCCTCAAGATGGCTCCAAGATTGCCCAAGAGAGCTCCAAAGGGGGGTCAAAGACGGCCCCAAGAGGGCACACGAGCGCTCCGAGAGCGCCGAAAGAGCGCCCCAAGAGGCGTGTGTCTTCTGCCTCCGACGACGGGGGGCGTCATGTTGGTCCGAGAAGGCCCCAGGAGGAGCCCGATAGAGCCCACAAGGCTGCCAAAACTCCACCAGGAGAGGACCCCCCCCACACACTCGTCAAACACTGCCCAAAGAAGGCTCTGGGATGGCTCCAAGAGGTACCCAAAAAACTCCCAGAAGTGAGGACCCGCAAAGGCGTTGATGGTTGACTCCTGTCGTCGTCGTCGTCGTCACCTCCACCTCCTTGTCCTCCTCCTTCTCGTCCCTTCATCTTCCTCGTCCGATTCCTCTTGATTCCTCATCTTTGCAACGACAACGGCTCCCCGCATCTTTCCCACTGCATGCTCCTGCACTTCCCTGATCAGGGCAACTCGCCTGGGCATCGTTTCTAGACGGGCTTGTTGGGGTACGCGAATCGTCAAGGATTGAATTAGTGACCCTCCTTGGGGGGCTGCTATGAACGCCTGGTCGCCACAAGAAACTCCAGGATTCCCGATGGAAACGCCAACGGCCAACAGAGCCCAAACCGCCTCACGGAGGGGCGACTATACTCCCAAGGCGGCCTTTGAAGCTCAAGACATCCCAAGATTTCCCAAGAGGGCCCCACAGAAGCGTCCAAGCCAGGCGAAGAGGGCCCCACGAGACCCCAACGGGGCAGCAGATGCAAAGGTACTGAATACCACGGACCTGCGGTTCTCATTGGCTTGCTTCCCAGCTTTCAGGATCCTGAGGTGCCCAAAAACAAACGGCCCTCGAATGACCCAGCTCGACTCCAACAATACTCTAGATGGCCCTTGCGTGCGCACTGAGGCCACACAATGCACCCAAGATTTCCTACGATAGCCGAGCAACGCCTAAATATTGCCCCAATGTGCCACCAAGAGGCCACAAGATGGGTCGTAGCCAGGTTCCAAGGTTCGGGTTGACCCAAAAGGGGGTCCAGCGACAAGGGGGTGGTGCAGTAGATTTGGTGCAATACATTTGTCGGGTTGCAATAGATTTTGGGCGTGCAGTACAATCCGGGGCGCAAATGAATTGCTGGCTTTTCGCGTTCAATACATTGGTTGCAATGCAATGCAATACGCTTCTCTGGCACAATACATGTGCAAGACAATTTCCCAACATCTATTGCACCAAACCCTTTCAGCTGGACCCCCTTTTGGGTCGCAAGGAAAGGTCCCCCCAAAAACACCCAACGTTATTCAAAGTTGGTTCAACATACCTCCAAGAGGCCCCAATGTTGCCCTCAGATGGCTGCATCCGCCATGACCCAAGACAGCTCATAAAAAAGCCCAGGTGGACCAATAAGTCCTAGGGTAGCCCAAGAAACAACAACCTGGCCGATGGCACAGGGCGCAGCCTTCCGGATATTTTCAAGGAGAACAGCAACGACACCACGTCGCAAGAGTACATGCCCCTGTCGACGAAATCACCCAGGAAGACATAGTTCATCGAGAATATGTCACCTCGCCTGTTGCGTTCCCCGTACAATTGCGCGCAGACCTTACGACAGGACACACTTGCTGCATCGTGGCTGGCGCGCCCCGCTCGAACAACCGACCACCTCGAAGACCGCACACAATAAGCCCTGTCTGACTCGACCCTGAATGCATGCATCCGTGTCCTCCTCCGCGCGACTGCACCCCCAAGCGGTGCACACCGTGCGCACTCATCCGAAACATGCCCCCAAACCCACGAACACAGGCCTCCTCCTTCTCTTCCTCACCCTCCTCCCTGCACCTCCTGCGGCATGACCCGGAGAAGCCCCCAGGCGAACCCGCTGAGCCCAGGAGACAACCTTCCCGCTGCTCCAAACTTCCACGGCCTTGCGACCTACTATGTGGCCGGCCCGCGTTGCGCACAGATCAGAGGCACGCGCGTGGCGCCTCGACAATGTTGCCGCGGCCTCGGGCACTGGCATACACGACGACGCAAGCACCGAAACACGTCTGATGCAAACTTACACGCGCTCGCGTCACGCAACATCAAAAACATGGTCAGGACGCACTAAAACAAACGTTCCTACGGAAGCCAGCATTCTAAGCCTGTCCGCCTGTCGCTGTCTAACCAAATTTTCGCTCAAGACTTTGTGCGTAGTTGTATATTACACCTCCCGCTCGCTCGCTCTCTCTCCCTCTCTCGCACCCCCCCCTCCATCCCTCTCGTTTCCTCTCTCTCTCTCTCTATCTCTGTCTCTATTTCTTTTTCGTTTTTGTTCTCTCTCTCTCTCGCTCTCTCGCCCTTCCCTCTTATCAAACCCTCTGGAGGACCACGATGAGAAGGGCCGATTCCCGTCACGACGTCACGTTATCTGGTGCGGGCAACCGCATTCGCGTGGCTCGCTCCTTATCGATCTCCGCAGCGAAGGTCCCCAGAACTTGCCCGCGAATTCGATACTTGGACGCAGGCGCCCGCGCAGCCGCCGCGCCGAATTCGCACCGACCGACCGCCGCATCTGCATGCCACCCCCCTCCCTCAGAGGAGGAACAGGCAACCACACCAGTACCCTTCCCTCGTTTTCCATTTTTGGGGGGGGGGGGGCGGCCAGGCGGGGGGTGTCCAAAGGGGGGAGGGGGCGCAAATCATGGCCGGCGGCATGTGCGGGCCCAGGCGGGGCCAGGGACGTATTGAAATTAGAAGAGGCGCCATGAAATCTGGGAAGATATCGTGGCCACCGCCATGGTTCCCCCCCCCACTCATCACCACCCTCTTGGCTGCCCCCGATGTCTGGGCCTCCTGGGAGGTCCGCGTCGCCACCGCTGGCTTCGCCTCTAAGTTCTGGTTCGAACGCCCCCCCCAGGGGAGGTCTGGAGAGCAGCGGTATCGGTTCCCTCTGGTCACCTCACTCCCGCCCCAGGAGGAGGAGGAGGAGGAGGAGGAGGAGGAGGAGGAGGAGGAGGAGGAGGAGGGGGAGGTCCGGAGAGCAGCGGCATCGGTTCCCTCTGGTCACCCCACTCCCGCCCCAGGGGAAGAGGAGGAGGAGACCGGCGGCAAGGACAGAGCGAGGGTCACGCCCTCCTCGTATTCCTCGTCCTCCTCCTCGTCCTCCCTCCTCTCGTCCACTTTCTATTCCTCCTGGCCCTCCGTTCCTCCTCCACCTCCTCCTCTTCTTCTCCTTCTTATTATTATTCCTCCTCCTCCTCCTGCTCCTCCTCTTCCTCCCGTCAAACTCATTGTAACTCATCCTCCTGCTCCCTTACGATGTGCCGCCGACATCATCCGCCTCCACCTGCGACTCCGCCTCCTGTGTCGTAATCCTCCTCCTCCTCCTTCTCCTCATCCCCCTCTTTATCCTCCTCACACCTGGCATCTCTGGTCCGCGATCAGGCCTCTTGTCTGGCCAAGAAAACGCGTTGAAGAATTCCAACAAATCCAACAACTGACCGTGAATGTCGCCGTAGACCCTGCATGGCAACGGGACCTTCGGGCCGAAGTAACAAACATGCGTAGTACAGAAAGACAGACGTTCGGAGAGAGGCTTGAGTCCAGAACGGGCTGAACATCAGACACCCAGGAGTTGCTTGGATGAATACGGCAAGGCGTATGGATGAAAGAGAAAAAGAAATGAGGAAGAGACGAGGAGAATCCGTAAACAGGACAGACAAGTAAATCAAGACTTGAACATGCGAGGCCGCCACGGATTCTTTCGTTCAGTTTCGCTAGCTGAGGCGGTGGCGATGGTCGCGATAGACAACCAGTGAAAAGCAATATGTGAACCGCCAGGAGGGTTTGATTCCTATCCCTGCCTTGGGCCACCTCCTCTTCAGGAACGCTCAATACGACGTGAGACGATTCATGAACAAGGGCATAACAGAGTGGGAGCATAAGCAGGAGCGCGAGGAGTAAAACGACGACGTAGAAGATAAAGATACACT